AAAAAATTCCTTTTTTTTTATTTTTTTTTTTTTTTTTTTATTAATTTTTCTTTTAAAATTTTCTTCTTGTTACTGGCGAATCAGAAGCAAGGCTGTGTTCCGCGCCCTCTTGCGTTTGATCAGAGAATGGGAGTGAGAGAAAAGATAGATAGAGAGATAACATAGAGAAAAAGTCGAAAAAGAGAGTCAGAGAGGGCGCGACAGTCTAAGGATGCCTCGTTCCGTACCGCCAATTATTCGCTATCTACTAGTCAAAACCCTTTATTACGGCTAAAAAGACCCTGACGGAGTTTGCCAAGTGCCAGACGAGAGCGATAAGAAATCGTTCGACGATCGGTCAACGATCTTCTGTTTTTTTTTTCTTTTCCTATTTTCCTTTCCTTTAGAACGTATATATATATATATACTTGATTCTCATCTTAACACGCTTCTATCGACAACGCAACACCGTTTGTATTTGAACGAAGTCAAACACAATAATTTTCCTTTAACAATCTATATATTCTTTTCTTGCCACGTACGAAAAACGTGATCGGCCCTTCTAACCGTCCGCCATCCGTCATGGGATTGACGTATCTCTCCGTGTTTCTCTCATCGTCAACCTCGTTTCCCACGAAGAGAGAAAATCGAGGGGAACACCGAGTATAAACACGACTATATTTTACAAGAAGAATAAGAGACGAAGATAGAGAAGAAGTGATCTTTCGGTGATCTGACACATCTCTCCTCACACCACAGAGATCGTTTATATCCTCGATACTTCTTTGTGATGCCTCTTTATGGAGATCTGTTTATGGATCAGGTCGAACGGTTTCGCAAAATGGTGGACGATATCGTAGAGTATGCCTTCGCTAATCCGTGACCGTGATACAACGCGAATCGAATACGTGTGATTCGCGCGTGTATCGTGCGAGTATTGTCGCTATCGCCGCGGCAACAACAACGTCACGATTGTTGGTGATAATGACGATGACGACGACGACTGTAACTTTGACTGTTACGACTGAACTGACTGACTATGTGTTTGACTGTGTGGAAATTGGCAATTGTTTGCTGGCAGTTGGCGAGAAGTTTAATGTAGCATTGGCAAACTCTGGGGTCGACTCGGCGACGATCTCCGCCCGCGGACATACGAACGGAGCGGCCGCTTGGCCTAGTCGCCGAAACGACTGCAGGCCTTCTTCCATTTGCACTGTGTGCACCATAGGTCGCGATGCTCCATACCGTAGACCTTGCGGCACTTCTTCGTCTCGCCGCGAATCCGTCGGGGCGACGATGGCATCTTTCCCGTCGACACCGTCAGCAGGCCCATGTTCTGTTGGTACGCCTGGAATGGCCTGGGTGACAACTTTATATGCTTGATCGGTGTACCCTGTTTACGAAAACAGAGGTTGTATAAAATTATTATATTTTGAGGTTATGAGATCATTTTTTTAATTCAAGAATAAAATGAATTTTCAGTTTCTTTTAAAAGTTATGCAAGAATTAAATCATACGTAATGTATTCATGTGTCAACGTACCGGTGATTGCGAAGTGGCGAATGTGGTTCGTTCTCTGATGCTCATCATCATGTTTTCTGCATTATTAGTAGCAGAAGTGGTTTCCAAACGGAGCTGTTTCTGATACTCCGGATCCTCGTGCGGAGGTCTGGCCATGTCCCTATGCGACATCGTTGGTGGAGAACTCATATGATCGACAGCCACCTCCTGATAATAGAATTCTTCCTCATGATCGGAAATGTCATCGTCCTCTTCGTTATCGTAACTGTTAGTCTTTTTAGGTCTGAAAAACGTGCGTGATCCGAGTTAAACGTGTCTATCTGAATACACGCAAAATGTGTGGGCAATCTATTCGACCGTGAACGAACTCTATTCCATGTACACGATGTCCGGCATAGTTAGTGGAATTTATCTTATCGCGTGGTTCAAGGTTAACGCTTGAACGTCAAAGAATTTGAAGAATAATGTAGACACGAATATTACGACATTTCAAGAAATGATATACAAGAAAATTCGTATATAAACGCGTAGAAGATTAAATTTGGAATGGATTAATGTATTTTATTAATTTCAGTGAATTCGTTATTTTTCATAAAAAAAAATATTATTTTATTTATATAAAAAATCTAATTAATTGGTTATAATAAAAATGTCGAAACTATGCTCTTTGCGTATCTTATAATATTAAGTACTCAAATTAAATTGATACTGAAATTGAGAATTAATTCCCGTGCAACGAGTTCGTGCAACAGATGCGATAAAATATCGGATTTTCATGAGACTTGTTGCGTCTTACTATATATTTAAGACTTACCCCAAGTGTGATTGGCGCACGTGCTCTTCGATAAGCGGCACGGTCGCCTTGATTTCTAAACAACCTGGCCAAGTACATTTAAATACTACTGCTGCATTAGCCTAAAATCAGAATAAATCTTATGTTATTGACTAAATACATAATATATTATATAATTTGAATTTATCTTACATAAATATTAATGGATAATATTTATACAAAATATACAAAATTTTATATCATGCAACTTTATATATTATATGAATTAATAATTTTGTTTCACAGAAAAACATTATTTACAACATTTTTCAAATATTATTTTCACCGAGTCGTTATTTTTATATCTCTAATCACGATTATAGACTTCAACTTTATATAATCTATAACTCTATATTTGTGTATTTGTGTATTGTTATTGCACTAATGTATAACCTATAAATCGTAGATTATTTCTTGGTATCGTAATTTATTTTTCATAAAGTATTCCAATTGTTTTGAAGGTATGGCGACTGTATTTTCAAACATTATCAGAGTGCCGAAAATATCTCATGAAGGATTTTAGACGTCCTTTAACGATATCTCACGGTCCGTCGACAAGCATTGTAGCGTGAATCGTACGTAACTATATCGCGGAAAGCCCCATGGTACAAGGGGAAAATCGATGCGCAGCAGCCGCCGCGTACGTTGTGCGCAGCCACGTTTCTTTGTTTATATCGGCCGGCACAGTGGTGCCGGCACGATCACGTGCTATTGATCCGAGAACGATACTTCTCCGTCGGGCCACGCGGTCGTGTTACGATCGTGCTTTTAACGTTTCAATATGGTCTGTCCTTCAAATATGAAACACTTATTATTATGCTTTTAGAAAGAATCGAATTATAAAATTAATAATGAAAGAATGCTGACACATGAAGAATTATATATGCGGTGAGAAAAGGATTTTGGATTAAGTTAAAAAGAAATTGAAGATGAAGAAATTTAGAGCTATTCTGCAACTTGTTGTAGATTTAATATTTATATTTGGTGAACAAAATTTAGGATTTTTTGGATTCGTTAAAAAAAATTTGACAAAAATATCATTGTTCAACGAAAATTGCATATTTAATAACTATGATGAGTTGTTATCGATGACCAAATAAAACGTGTTAAGAAAAAAAAGTTAAGAATTTATAAATTTCTAATATGAAAAATATATCGTATATTTAAATGAGATGAGCGATTTGAATTTTATATTTAAAAATATAAGTGCTTTGAAAATATTCTATAAATATAATAATTAAATGATTTATAGGTACTATAATACTATATAACAACTAATTTAAAAAAATGTTTAATAAATATAAAATTTCAAATCATTTTCTTTTTTGATTTAAAATTTTATAATAATTATTCTGTAACATATAACGTATTCTATATTATACACTCATCATCTTCATATTGCATACATACATATTTTTATTTAAACTCAATAGGCACTTTAATTCTAACTTATTTTATATAGAAATAACAGGAACTCTAACTTGTTCAATAAATAATAAAGAAGATAATGATAGTAGACAGTCTAAAGCTACGTTTTGCTGAATATATCGATTCTTATACTATTTGATAAAGTACGATATAGAAGATACGTTAGAAATACCAGATTGAAACAATATCATTGTTCAAAAGACAAATTATTTATTGAAACTTAAAAATTTATTAAAATTTCATTGATAAGTTTTTTAAACTTTCTAATTTAAGAATGAAATAAAACAAATAACTTTTTGAAATTACGATCAAAAAATTTATTATTCGTAGATAAGATTATATCCTAATTAATAAAAAGTAAATTTGATTTATTTTACATAATTGCAACTTCAAAAGTTAACGAAGTATTTGACTTTTACAATAAGAGATCCATGAGAATAATCTGTTTTAAAGGGAAAGAGTTTGATGTTGGTTAAAAATTTCGACGCAATATCTGACAATATACTTCTTTCGAAAGAACATTCGAATCACGAAAGGTTAAAAGCGAAGGACATTGTAAGAGGAGACACTTTTGAAGAACATGGTGGTCAAAACGAGTTTTTCGCTGTCAGGTCACTGCTGCTGATCCATAAATTTCAAATCTAAATTGTAAAATAGGAAGAAAAATTTTAGAAAGTAGATTTTATTTTTCTTTCGACAAGAATTTAAAAGTTAATATTACTTAAAAATTTTCAAATTCTAAATTTTCTAAGTTCAGATATTTCAGAATTAATAAATTATACTATCTCATAATTTTATTTTTTAATTATTTGTTTCTAAGCTTTAAGAATTTTAAAGTTCTTGAGAAAAAGAAAGTTTTTATAGTTGTAAAGTTTGAAAACAAAGTCAGAAAAATTGTTTTAAAATTCTAAAATTATAATGTTCTAGAGTTATAGAATTTTTTTTTTAGAATTCTGAAATTTTAAAAGTTTTGTAGAAATTGACATCATTACAAATATTTATACTCAGAGAC